AAAGGCCAGAGCTATGTCAGAAATGGAGAGGCCAAGAGGGCCCTGTGTTCCCAGAACCAGGTGTCCTAATGAAAATGATAGGCCCAGGCCTGGCCCCTGGGTTTCCTGAAACCTGCCCATCCCTGGCCCTGACTGGGCCTGGCTCCCACAGATCAACTGGAGCTGATAAGAGTAGTCCAGGGTTCATGTTTAGTGTCTTCGCCCCAGTCTTTCTAGTAGGCCCTGATCCCACCGAGTCCCCTGTGGTGGAAAGAGGGCTAAGGAAGCTCTAGGCGCTGCAGAGGTCAGGAGCTGAGGTGTGAGAAGGAAGCAGGCCTTGGGCAGTGCTAGGGAAATGAAGCTACCATGGATGACAAGCAATTGGTTTCATAATATCCACTGTATGGGCACTTCTCTCATTGTTTTCATGTTGGTTCTGGTCTTTTCCCCTACCCCTTAAGGTTGATCAACTACAGAGAAATCGATTGTCTGTGTTGAGGCCAAAGAGTTCAGTTGGAACTCAGAAGGTTCTGGCTGCAGGTTTGGGCCAGACAGAGGAGGCAGCTGCCTCCCCACTGAAGGGCACTTGATTGCAGTGAAAGGCGTGGGGGACAAAGGGAGACATTGGAGGCAGGAGCAGCTGGGGTCCCGCACTTCAACTCCCCAGATTTTGCCCTCCCTCGTTGTAATACCAGACTCCCCTGAGAAGTAAAAAATAAGTTTTCTCTGTTTAGTCTTAAACATAATATTTACCAGGTAAACAGATAAATGTGCCCCAGAGGCCTCGGTAATTTAAGACCAGCTCAGGCTCTCCTTCCCTCCTGACTAATCAATTCCACTTGTGCCCTGTGCTTATGGTCCTGTAGTGCCCACATTGTCATAGCCTTCATTTCTACCTTTCGCAAGACACAGTCCCAAGTAGCATATAAAGATTGACGAGATCCAGGTGTCCTAAGAATTCTTAGTGTTGAGTTCCTAACCCAAACACAACTGACGATAACATCTCGCTCTGGACCCTCCTTGAGACCGCCCAGCACCCAGAAAGCAGCACAATTCATCAAAGATGACAGCAGAGACATTTTTCTGGAACACCCTTGCATTTCAGAGCCCTGTTCGCCACTCAGTTGTGGAGACAATACTTCAAAGAGTCTTGGCTCTACCGCCAAGACTGATTGACTTCTCCCCTAATATTGTTGATATAATTTTTTTTTTAGATTTTTTTTTTTTTGCCATAGGGCTTATGTCCTCACTGAAGAGAGACAGAGAGAGGGAAAGTGAGAAATTACCCCATATTCTCCTCAGGATTTTGGGCATGCAGGCACATACACGTGACATGTTTTCCAAATCAACACCTCTAGGACTTGAACCACAGTTGGCCATGTGGGAATCCAGCACCCTAACCACCATACCACCTGCTGGCCCGATACCAATTACTTTTTAAAAAGTCTCCTCCCCACCCACCCTACACTAGCTGAATCCCCCTCCCTCCTTTCTGTCTTGAGTTGAATTGAAGCCCTGATCCCAAGTACCTCTGAAGGTGACCTTATTTAACGATAGAGTCTTTGTAGGTGATCAAATTATTTTTTTTTTTTTGCCATAGGGCTTATGTCCTCACTGAAGAGAGACAGAGAGAGGGAAAGTGAGAAATTACCCCATATTCTCCTCAGGATTTTGGGCATGCAGGCACATACACGTGACATGTTTTCCAAATCAACACCTCTAGGACTTGAACCACAGTTGGCCATGTGGGAATCCAGCACCCTAACCACCATACCACCTGCTGGCCCGATACCAATTACTTTTTAAAAAGTCTCCTCCCCACCCACCCTACACTAGCTGAATCCCCCTCCCTCCTTTCTGTCTTGAGTTGAATTGAAGCCCTGATCCCAAGTACCTCTGAAGGTGACCTTATTTAACGATAGAGTCTTTGTAGGTGATCAAATTAAACTGAAGTCATAAGTATGAACCCTAATTTAATAAGACTGGTGTCCTCATAAAAAGGAGACATTTTGACAAAGGCAGACCCACACACAAGGAGAACGCCTGGTGAAGATGATGGCAGAGGTCAAGGTAATGCTTCTACATGCCAAGAAAGCCAGAGTTTGCCAGCAAACCACCAGAAGCTAGAAAGAGACACGGACCAGACCTTCCCTAGAGCCTTGAGGGGTGTGGCCCTGCCAACACCTTGGTTTTAGACTCTGGGCTCCAGAATGGAGATGATAAGCTGCTGTAATTCTAAGCCAGCCAGACTGTGGTGCTTGGATACAACAGCCTCGAGAAGCAGCTGCAGTTTCTTTCTGGTCGCCTGTGGTGGCAGGTGTAGGTTTGACGGGAAAGAAGGCCACTGGAAAAGCTCCTCAGTGGTGAGGGCCTTTGGGTTGAGGACCAGGGTACGGCCCTTAAAGGTTTGGTCCTTAGATTCTCCCAGAAGAGGGTGAGGGTGGGAGGGTGGTGGGTATACATGGTGGGCGAGAGGGCCCAGGACAGGAAGCAGGTGCCGAAAGGGCAGAGGAAGCGTGCCGTGGACACGAGATGGAGGCTCCAGGCCTGGGTCACATTCGGACTGGGTGTGGCACTGAGAGGGCACTGGGCAAGGCAGGGCAGGGCTGTGGCGTGAGAACACCATGTCTCGGTAAGAGGCAATATAACCAGATGTGCTAGAAGTGAGAGGGCATGTCCACAAGGAAGGGCCAGACCAAGGCCGCTAGGCTTTCCCTATGCCCACGCCCTATCCTGCCATCCCTACCCCAGGCCTGAAGAGAGGATCTGAGAGGGCCAGATGCCATTCAGAGCTGGCCAGGAACCTAAAGACCAGCTGATGCCAGGTCCAGAGATGGGGGGACCACAGAATCCTGGAGAGCAGGAACAGAGTCTGAACATTTACAGAGGGGAGGACTGAGGCCGGGGACGAAGGGAGCTACAGGATGCAGGATGTGGAGAGAGGCCCAGGAGGGGCAAGGAAGAGGTAGGGAGAAGAAGGAAGGGATGAGAAGGAGAGTGAAGGGGACAAAGGGACACAGAAAGAGATTAAGGGAGAAGAAGAAAGAAGGGGGGATGCCAGATGGTGGCACAACGGTTAGGCATTGCTCCGTGAGCCTGACCACGTGGGGTGGGTACAAACCTACTGGAGACCTCCCTGGACATGCTAGGTGTGTGTGTGTGTGGCCATGGTCCAGGGCTGGCTGAGGTTGGGGTATATTGTGGTATGAAGACCCTGTTGGAGGGATGTCCCTGCCCTGTTTCTCTTGCTTATGGGGAAAAAAAAATTCTTTTTTTTTTAATTTAAAAGAGTGAACAGAGTAGGTGAAGGGATCTGAGAGAGCTGGGGAAGTCCTCCCCTACAGAGGTCCATGACAGGTCTGAAATGCCACCATTGGAGATGTGTGACCAAGGGTCTGGGCGGCATAGGAGGCAGGGGAGAGGGTGTTACCATCACTGCTAATAGGCCAGCAGCCCCGGTGACACCATCCAGGAGATGGGAACCCTGTAACCTGCATACTCCTTTCCGCCTTGACTCCCCTCCTCCTTCCCTGGAGGCAGCGAGGGGCACAGGCAGCTCCCAGGAGATCTAACAAGAGCCCACTGTCATCCCCGGCTGCCAAGAGCCTGGTCCCACAGCCACGAGCCCGAAGCAGCTGAGGTGAAGTCCTCGGAGGCCCCAACTCTAGTCTTTGGGGAAGAAACTGAGGCCAGGGATTAGGTGAGTGGCCTTGTGGCAAGACCTGGTTCAGGTAGGATTAGAGCTGGGGCTCCTGAGACCCCATCTTGTGCCCATTTGGCTAGAGCCCTGTGACCCCCCTCAGGTGGTACAGAGATGGCCGGGTCAAGAGTGAGAGGGAACAGGCCTTTAACGCATGGTCTCATGTCATGGGAGGAAGACTTGGGCATCTGGTGCAAGCTGGGAGATCAAAGAGCTGGCGAGGGATACTCCCTGGGTAAACAGAGACGTCCGTCCAGAGAGGCACAGGCTGAACTGCAGGTAGAGGGCACCCATCGGTGTCCCACAGGCAGTGCTGTGAGGGCAGAGGGACTGGGGGTTCACTCACCTTGTCCAGTAGCAGCTTCGGTGGGCAAGAGCAGGAGGGTGAGGGCCAGCAGGCAGAGCGCCATCGTCACCAGCCTTGCCATCAAACTCAGAGAACAGGCGCCTACCTTTCACCCTCCTGGCAGCTGGCAAAATGAATAGCTGCTGAAGAACCCCAGAAATAAATGAGCCCCGAAGACCTTTGGCCCCTAAGATACTGAGACCTGGGGGCCAATCCACACCTGAGTCAGATTACGAGCTACCCTCATGACTCGGGTCGCCAAGGCCTGTTCTAGGCCAAAGGGCAGAGGGTGGGGAAGCCCATCCCTGGCCAGGCAGTTCATCAGCATGCAGGCAATTGATTCATCGCCCATAGCAGGGCAGGGGCCGCGCAGGGCCTGCCTGCCAAGGAGAGCTGGGGAGAAGCCCCCGAGAGGGAGGCGGGAGGTGGAGAGGTGAGCCTGGCCTGAGCCGGAGAAGAGGAAGGTCCTGTGCATTTGACTTTAGCTCTTGGCAAGAAGAACCCCTCCTTTTCTCAAGCCATTCTTGTTTGCCTGTGCGTAACCCATCAGGATATGGGATGCAGGTTATGGCCACACCTGGGCCCATGCACAACCCTGGATGGCTGGAGTTCTTGAGTCAGTGGGCTCAGTGGGCCCTATGGCCACCTAGATGGTCCCTCTCCTCACCCCTCAGGGTCAGCAGAGTCAAGTGCTCTCTCCTTGCCTTCTGGGGGCTCCCACCCCTCACTCTTGGGCCTGAGGTCTGCTCATGTTCCCAGGACCTGACCCTCGGCTTGTCTGCCGCAGAGACCTCAGGCAGAGGTGGGCCTGGGCCTGTTTGGCTAGAGCAGGTGACAGGCCCAAGGCGGCCCACACTCTGATTGCCCCCTTAGTCCACTCCCCCCAGACCCAGCCCCCATCTAGCCCCCAGCAAGGGAGGAGAAAGAAACCTCTCGTGTCACACTGTGCACTTTGAGATTCGCTTTTATTGGTAGGGAAGCTCCACCGAGGGGGAGTCGCTGAGGAGCAAAGGAGGGGGTCAGGGTGTCTGGGACCCAGGCAGAGGGCAGGGAGTGGGAGGGCTCACAGCCCTGCCTCCTCCCTGGCAGGCACAGGACTCCAGGCCCGACTCCAGTTTTCTCTTGGCTATCCATGGGGCCTGTGGAGAGCTCTCCATCTGCTACTCTCTTGCCAAGGTCTGGATGAAGCATGGCTGCCTCTGATAACTCACTTCATGGTTCTCACCACCTCTGGTCTCTGAACACGGAGCTGCAGGGCGAGATGACATAGACAAGGTGAGGCCAAAGAGGGGAGGGAAGGCTGCGGGCAGTCCTGGGGGCAGCTCCTGTGCATCACCTCTTTGGTGGGGTCAACATTCTCCAGGGAGGGCTGGAAGTGGCTGTAGGCCTTCTCAAGGCCGAATTTGTCCTCCTTCAGATTCGGGCCTGTAGAGAGAGGTAGTGGAGTGAGAGCCAGCCTGGGGAAACCTCGGGGGACACCCAGTGGGATTTTCTTCTGTAAAAGGAACAGTGCGTGGTCAGCCTAGCACATGCTAAGTTATTTCCTCACTGCCATCCTCCACTGTTACCACTGACTTATGGGGTCTTGACAAACATGACTCATACCCGAGAAGCTGACCCAGTGTGACCTCAGAAAGGGTGGGGGTGGGGAAAGGGGCCATCGGCGTCCCTCCCTCCTGTGCTGTGAAGTCAGAAGTCACAAGTCGAGAGTGAGGGTGGAGCAGGGGTAGGGCCACCCAGCAGTCTGCAGGTTCACACATCATGGCAACAGTAACCACAGCAGGCCACCCAACTCCTCCTGGAATCTTCCTCCACACTTGTTCCTGGGGCCAGCACCGCCCTCCTCAGTGCTGCAAGCACTGGCTCCCCCTGGGCCTCCAGGCCAGGACTTGGGTTCTCCCTGCATCCCTTGGCTTTGTCTTTCCTGCCTCCTTCAACTCCTCTTGCTCTGTCTGCCCTTCCACAGCCTGCCTGGGGCCTTGTCTTGTGCCCTCCTCCCTTCCCACGCCCATGTTCTCCCCAATGAATGGACAGATGGACACGAGCACAGGCTGACGTCCTACCAGACCCACGTGAGCTGGTGCTCCCACAGCTGCCCCCAGGTTGCAGACCTCTCCCTAGGTTTCAGACCTGCCAGCCCCCAGCTCAGTGTGCCTCCAGCTGCTGCTTCACCCCCAGATGGTCCCTCTCAGGCAGTGGCTCCCATATCCAGACCAGGGATGGGCTCGGATACTCCAGGAAATCTTCCCCAGTCCTTCTCCATTCCCTAGCTGTAAGTGACGTGCCCTGTGGGGTTCACCTCTAAAGTACACGCCTTCCTCTTCCCTCTGCCACTGCTAGCTTAGCCTCGTGGTCCCCTTACCTGGCCTCTCTATTCTACTGCCACCTCCTCAAATCCACTAGCGTGAGCTACTCAAAATGCACAACTGGTCCTCCTGGCTTAAAGCCCCTGCAGTGGGAAGCCTCCAGCCCACTGCAGCCCCCAAAGCCCTCCCTGGCTCTGCCGACCTCATGCCTCTCAGCTGCCTCTTTCTTGACGAGACTGGGCCATACTTAGTTTCCCCCACAGGCAGAGCTCATTCCCACCTACATGCCTTTTCCTGTGCAACGTCCCCTGCCAGGGATGGCCTCTCCTTTGTCCTCACTGGGATAAGGTCTCCCTCCTTACTGGGCTCTGCAATCTCCGTCTTTTGTTTGTTAAAGCAAGAAGCAAACCACCTACTCTTGGACTCTCAGAATCAAACCCAACTTGGAGGATGCCTCCTCCAAAACCCACCCCCACCCTGGCTGGGTCAGGCCAAGCTCTGTGCTCCTGTGTGCCCTGGGCATGGCCCTAGCATCCACTCAGCTGAGTGCCGTCCTCTCAGTGGTCTCTAGGGGCAGGATCCAGTTCTGGGTCACCCCTGTACTCATGCGCAAGCCACAGGTGTATCAGAAAGAACTAGGCAGGTAGACACTTGGCGTTTGCTCAGGGCCGGGGCGTGGGCAGAGGGGAGTAAGCAATGCTTGGAGCGAAGGCTTGTGCAAAGAGATCAGAGCAGGCACATGCTGTCAAAGAACACCAAGGTGGGGCCACGCGGAGCCAGACCGACAGCTCTGGAGCCAGAGGAGGCTCAGCACCCAGGAAGGCTCCATGGAGAGGGTGGCATGTGAACCAGATCTTGGAAACCGAGTGGGAGTCGGGCTTTCTCATAGAGATGGCTGAGCAAGCAGAACTTTCCAGACTATAGCACCACGGTATGTACAAAAGCAAGGAGGAAAAAAAATGATGGGTGTGAGCTAGGCAGGAACTTGACAGGGAGGAGCTGAGAAAGACTGGAGGGTCAGCAGGGCATGATGGGGGACTAGATCAGGAGCTACAGAGGAGGTGGATGGACTTGGCTGCAAAAGCAGACCTGAGAGGGCTGTCCCCCATAGCTTCAGTGGGGGGGCAGGACTCTCATGCCACCCTAGGCCCACATGCACTGAGCCAAGCGCCTTCCCTCCCTCTCTCCACCCCCAGCTTTGCCCGCCCCAGGTACCTTCCCAGAAGCCTGTGTTCTGAAACCTGCCAGGGACGCCTGTTTGCCACTCAGGAGACACAGCGTATTCTTGCCTGCCAACAGAAATGCCATGAGTAATTGGGGGCAGGGAGGCCAAAGAAGGGGCTCCGTGGTCCTTGACCTCACTTTCCCTTGAGGGGACTGTCATGGGCACAACCCTGAGTCAGAGGGGCCTAGATGGTGACAGAGGAAGAAAAGCGATGTCACCATGGTCTCTCCTCACAGGCACTGGCTGGGCTTCTTGGCTGCTCCTAATTCCCTCAGCAAGCGTCAGTTTCTTTATCCTTGAGATGGGGCATTGCGCTGGAGTCAGGGCAGCTCCCTGTGACTGCTGGCTTCTGGCCAGATATGCTAGGCACCTCATGGCACATCCAACAGTTCACTTATTCCACTTCACAGCTGGGGAAATCGAAACCCAGGAGGCTCATTTACAGCTTCTTGCTGTAGAAATGTGGCAACTCAGGTGATAACAAATAGCTGGTAATTCTGTCATATCTTTTTTTTTTTTTTTTTTTTTTTAGTGCTTTTTGCTGAACGCCG